CCCCCCCCCTTAAAAATTTAAAAAGGGCAGGGGACTCGATATATTATGTTCATAATATTTTGAACCCCCTCAAATTAAATTAAAAGGGCAGAGGGACTCGATATTTTATGGCCATAATATTTTGAACCCCCTCCCTGTAAATTAAAAGGGTAGGGGACTCAATATTTTATGGCCATAATATTTTGAACCCCTCCCTGTAAAATGAAATGGGCAGGGGGACTCAATATATTATGGCATAATATTTTGAACCCCCTACCTCTTAAATTAAAAAGGTAGGGGTTCAATATTTTATAAGGGGGTTCAATATATTGCAGCGAAAATGTGAACCCGGGTTCAAAATATTATGCATATTTTGAACCCGGGTTCAATATATCGCGGTATCAAAATATTATGCTACACCGGTAGTGTCCGGTAGTTCTTGAGAAGTCAAATATGTGAAAATTTTACAGACCGACTGACAATGGACAAAATGTGATCAGAAAAGCTCACTTGAGCTTTTAGCTCAGGTGAGCTAAAAAGGATGTCTGATCATCATTCACACTTTTATTTTACTTGTAAAAATATATACTGTAAAAGCACAAATATTCATTAGGGATTAAATTTCGTTTATTTAGTTTTTAACAATCATAACGAAATTAAATCCCACACGAAATTTTAAATGATTATGTACTGAATAAGGTTACCTTCAAAACAACGAAATTAAATGCCCACTAAACTATTCTTGGTAACAAATCAATGAAATTTTATCCCCATGAAAATCTGTGCTTCTACAGTATTACTTTAGTTTTGAATTATTTGGACAAATGCCTTACCTGTCATCACTGCACAGGTTTTTTTAAATTTTATTTTTTTATGTGTACTGTTCATGATTAAAAAACATAGTAAACTTAGATTATTAAATATTGAAAGGCATAAATCAATTTTTAAACACATCTGTAATGCAATAATCTATATCTATAGTATTATTAAGCAATTTAACTTTCATCTGGTATTTACTTTTATCAGTATTTAAACATACCAAATGTACTGAAACTTATCTAAAAGATGGATTTCCTCTCTTTTGCAATAACACAGAACTCTGTATGTCAAACAAGAAATCTGTGAGCCAATGCTCACTAGTAATACCCCCACTGATGTAAATAAGCACTATCATGTTAATACATGCAGATGCACAAAAAAATATGAAATTGACATCAGATTCATATCAAAATTAATTCCACCATATGGCATGCCTCAACAATGAGTGTAATAAAATTTCAAGCATCTGCTATAAATAGCTAATGAGAAAACCGCGACAAAGATTTGTTATGTATGAAACGGACAGACACACAGACAAACAGGAAGTTGACATCGGATTTGAGCAAAAATGTATCCCACCATATGGCATGCCTCAGAGAAGATTGTGTTAAAGTTTCAAGCATCTACCATGAGTAGTTGCAGAAAAAACTCGCAAAATTTGTTATGTATGAAACGGACAGATGCACAGACAAACAGGAAGTTGACATCGGTTTTGAGCAAATCATCCCACCATATGGCATGCCTCAGAGAAGATTGTGTTAAAATTTCAAGCATCTACTATGAGTAGTTGCTGAGAAAACTGCTATGAATATTTGTTACATATGAAACGGACAGACTCACAGACAAACAGGAAGTTGACATTGGCTTTGAACAAAAATGTACCCCACCATATGGCATGCCTTAGAAAAGATTGTGTTCAAATTTCAAGCATCTGCAATGAGTAGTTTCAGAGAAAACTTCGACTTATATTTGTTATGTATGAAATGGACAGATGCACAGACAAACAGGAAGTTGACATCAGATTTGAGCAAAAATGTATCCCACCATATGGCATGCCTCAAAGAAGATTGTGTTAAAATTTCAAGCACTCTATGAGTAGTTGCTGAGAAAACTGGCGAAAATTTGTTATGTATGAAATAGACAAATGCACAGACAAACAGGAAGTTAACATCGGATTTAAAATGAATCCCACTATAAGGCATGCCTTAAAGAAGATTGTGTTAAAATTTCAAGCATCTGCAATGAGTAGTTGCTGAGAAAACTGCAACGAAAATTTGTTATGTATGAAACAAACAGACGCACAGACAAACAGGAAGTTGACATCAGATTTGAGCAAAAATGTATCCCACCATATGGCATGCCTCAGAGAAGATTGTGTTAAAATTTCAAGCATCTTCCATGAGTAGTTGCTGAGAAAACTGGGGCAAAAATTTTTTCGGACGGACACACAGACAGACACACAAGGGTAAAACAGTATACCTCCCTCGCCTTCGGAGTGGGGGTATAAAAATGGACAATTTGAGCAAGCAAAACACAAATTTTACACTGGCTAAAGAAACCCACAACACAGTAACTATATAAATCTATATTTTCTGGTGGTCATGAATTCGGGGGTTTCTCCAACCAAAACAACAAGATTGAAACATCCATGAAAAGTTCTGATTTCTAATACCATTTTGACCTTTTTTTTAAAATTTCCCGGCCACAGTTACTGTAAACGTGGTTATATTGACGATTTGAAAAATTGCAATTTTTTGTTAATGAAAATTGACAAGTGTTAATTTTAAAGAAATATTGAATCAAGAGTTATGTATCTTTGAATTCATAAATTAAAAAAAATGAATTCCAGAGTTCGAGTTAGACCATCAAAGTTTTAAAGATTTACAAACCCTATAAGTGTGTAAGATTCAATTATATAAATTACTCTTTTGTATTTTGTTTTCATTAGAAGCGATCAATGTTGCCTGAGGTGACAAACTTGGTCAAGCAGGGCGTGATAATTACACTAAGTTACGCATGCTAATATTTGATTCACTAGCATAGATTCAATGGTCTTTAAAAGAGTCATAACTAATTACAAAGGAAATTAACAATAACTTTGATCTAGTTTTAATATAACGTAGGGGAAAGCCAGAAAATTAAGCGGTAAAGTTGTACAATGGAAATGTCTGTTGTGACGTTTTATATATGATTTGAAGTTTGACGAGTGTAACTTTTGACAAGGAAAGAAAAATCGTCAATATAGTCAAAATTAGTATATCATCAAAATTTCCTCGTTTACAGTATGTAAAGACTAAGAGAAATAAATACATTTACTAGTATTTTAGTTGAATTAGCCTATTGATGAAGGCAAAAAATGCTAAAACAAAACAAGGTCAAATACTATGAAATCACTATTTTTCGTGGGTTTAATTTTCAGTGTTTTTGAGGTAGGGAAAACCCAAAAATATATGACCACCACAACATGTAAAATTTCATATGCATTATTACAAACATTTTCCAACCACGAATTCAAATCCCACAAACCAATATTTTTTTCTCAAACCTCGAAAATTTGACCCCACAAAATATGTGATTTTACAGTATTTCACAGTTTTATGGCATTCATTCAAGCACAGCTTGTGAACACATGATGACATCATAAGAACCTGAACTCTTTATTCATTTTTTCAAAAAATTATTTACTACAACACAACTATATAAAGTATCCAACACAAGGATATTTTTCTTTTATAATAAATCGAACTTGTAATTAATTTTAAAAAACTATATTTCTACATGTACAAAATATTTTATGACATGGAATTTTTTAGAAAAACTACCATACTGGATGAGCTAATGACCTCTGTAAAGAACATCTTAAGTCTGTTATACACTAAGCCCAAGTTTGATTTTCCTTTCACTGAATTCTATTTGTGTGAGATTCTTTCTTTTTAAATTTATGCTCTTAGAATTCTGTCAATTAACTGACATCTTACAAGAAAAGGCAATCTGCTTCAGCAAACCTAAGTCAAATCGGAGAGTTTCAAAGTCCTTGTCTTCTGTGATTTTCAGGATGTGACCGGCAAATCTTTCAATGTACACTGAAAATTTTAAAAGGCTGTTCCAAAGTCTTGATGGAATTGTAATACTCCTAAACCCTTTTCACTGCTTGTGTGGGAGTGGATCCATTTTCAGTTGAGCAACTACAGTTTTCTTAGAACAACCTTCTGTTCCATTATACTGTTTTATGACCTTTTCGCTCTTTCCATGGTGTTTTCACTTTTACAAGACAGGTTCAGTTTTCCATTCATTAGAGCCTGAATTTGATTGTAGTCCATCACTTTAAGATAAGAATGAATCAATGTAGTTATCACAGCGATGTACTTAGCACACTCCTCTCGGTCTGCAAATCCAATCCTCCCCCCCCAGCACCTGCTCATACAGGTAATCACGGGGGGGAGAGTCTGCCGGGCCATCACTGCTACGCTGCCTAAAAATAGAGTCATCAAATGAAACTCTCAATCTACAATTAAATTCATACACATATATTATATTCTAAACTCTTCATTCTTTCTCACTTAGGCTAGCAAAGAAAAAATGTACTTGACACCTTTATGAGTTTTTAAAAATTTGACTAGTTATGAACTTATTTTCTTGATTTGGAAAAATACATTCTCTAATGATTTTAAAGCTCTTAGTTATTATAATGATTGGTGATATATTGCAGACAACAAGATAAGCCCTTTTATTCTAGATAATGTGTGACCTACCCTGAGAACACGACCTTGCTAGCGATCCTCTGACATTCTAGACAATGTCTGACCTACCTTGAGAACACGACCTTGCTGAGCGATCCTCTGTTATTCTAGATAATGTCTGACCTCCCTTTGAGAACACAACCTTGCTGCACCTCTGTTTTCTAGATAATGTCTGACCTACCCTGAGAACACAACCTTGCTGGCGTCCTCTGTTTTCTAGATAATCTCTGACCTACCCTGAGAACATGACCTTGCTGAGTGATCCTCTGTTATTCTAGATAATGTCTACCTCCCTGAGAACACGACCTTGCTAGCGATCCTCTGTTATTCTAGAAAGTCTGACCTACCTTGAGAACACAACCTTCTGAGCGATCCTCTGTTATTCTAGATAATGTCTGACCTACCTTGAGAACACGACCTTGCTGAGTGATCCTTTTATTCTAGTTAATGTCTACCTACCCTGAGAACACAACCTTGCTGAACGATCCTTGTTATTCTAGATAATGTCTGACCTACCCTAGAACACGACCTTGCTGAGTGATCCTTTTTTTCTAGATAATGTCTGACCTACCTTGAGAACACAACCTTGCTGAGCGATCCTCTGTTATTCTAGATAATGTCTACCTACCTTGAGAACATGACCTTGCTGAACGATCCTCTGTGAAGGACAACAGAATTTCCTTCATTTGACTTGTAGTGGCCAGGTCTAATGGTGTCTGATTTAAAGCAGTTTTATTTTCTAACATGGCTGGACCTAAAGGTATAAATCAAACAGATTTATTGGCTAAAATAAGCAAAAACAACAACAACATGTAAATGTAAGTTATATGCCTCCATGTGCTGATGAACATACACTGGTAGAAGGAACATGAGATAAAGAATATTTCCCCCTGTTGTGGAGTGTGAGGTAACAAATTTCCCCCTGTTGTAGGAGTGTGAAATAATTAATATTGTAGGAGTGTGAGTTAATGAATATCTTATTGTTGTAGGGTGACCTGTGCCCTCTGGATTTGCGTCTACACCAACTGCTTTGGGGTCACACCAAAGCCAAGTCAAAATTGCTACATAATATTTTATATTACCACCATGTTGTAAGAATACCTCCTTGTTGTAGGAGTTTAAGCCAATAAATAAATCAACATCTTATCTTGGTTTTAAGCCAGGGAATACCTCTTTTGATCAAATTTATTTCCTCCGTGCTGTAGGAGCAGTTTACACACGTCCAGTCTGTTGTTCATCACCATCATGGAGCGGGGGAATCAGGTCATCAGTCACCGCCAACAGGTTCACCTTTCCCACACTTCTTATCACCTCCTACACAAAACAGTGGTCCAAGTTAGCAATACAGCATCTACTATTGGGTGTTATTTCCCCCTTAGGATACACATACTACACTGCCATCTTAAGAAATAAAATTTAGTTAATGAAAATAATGCTTTCATTCCTATTATAAATTAACTAACAATTTCTCCTGAAGATTAGAGATCCATTTTCACATTTTTGTAAAATACAAATAAGTTTACCTGGGCTGAAGAAATGGTCCATAGTTTTGTCAGGAACAAAATTTAGCAGCTCTTTTACAACTTCTACGTGTCCGAGATTACAAGCTTCATGTAACGGATCCACCCAGCATTGTCCTTGGTATTAACATCCACACCTAAAAAAACTAGAACTGTCCAAACGGGACAAAATACCCCCGCTGGGTTTTTCAGAAGTAAGGTTTCCATAATAAAAATATGTATCAAACATGAATTATGAAATTTTTCTTCCAGTGACCTTGAACTTCCCCAAATGACCTTGGGTCAAGGTCATGACACTACCTTAGGTCATGGGCAATCGTTTTGTGAAACGACAACCTACCAAGTTTATCCATAAGAAAAATATACCCGGACACGTTAAATTTTTCTTCCAGTGACCTTGAAATTCCCCAAAAGACCTTGGGTCAAGGTCATGAACCCCCGGTGATGGGAATCTTTGCGTGAAATGAGAACCTACCAAGTTTATCCATAAGAAAGATATGGACCAGACATGAATTATGAATTTTTTCTTCCTATGACCTTGAACTTCCCCAAAAGACCTTGGGTCAAGGTCACGACACACCCTAGGGTCATGGGCAATCTTTTTGTGAAATGACAACCTACCAAGTTTATCCATAAGACAGGTATGGACCGGACACGGATTGAAATTTTTCTTCCAGTGACCTTGAATTCCCCAAATGACCTTGGGTCAAGGTCATGATACACCCTTGGGTCATGGGGAATCTTTGTGTGAAATAAGAACCTACCAAGTTTATCCATAAGAAAGATAAAGACCGGACACGAATTATGAAATTATTCTTCCAGTGACCTTGAACTCCCCCAAAAGACCTTGGGTCAAGGTCATGACACACCCTTGGGGCATGGGCAATCTTTGTGTGGAGTAGTAAATTCCAATGTTCCTCCATAAGAAACATATGGACCGGACATGTTTGCACAGACAGACGGATAGACGGACGGACAGACGGACAAGATGATTCCTATATACCCCCCCAAACTTCGTTTGCGGGGGAGGGGGGGTATAAAAACAGCCTTCATAAAACATGAACAGGGTCAAAGTTCAAAAAAAAATCATAAACAAAGACACTACAGTCTACTTCAGATATATAGATGCTCAAGGGACCAATTTTTTCTTCCCTCATATGTACTCCAAAATGCAAAAATGGCCCATGAAGACATTTTAAATCTTCTTCACTATACAAGAGGCCCACGGGCATACTTGCCAACCTCTGACATGTAAAAATCTGGTCATGACCAGATTTGGAAAGTAAAAAATCTGGTTATAACGTGTAACGACAGTCATGACATATTTACCATGATTAAATTATCTATAAATAAGTATTTGTGTATTGAGAATTTTTAAATTTAAAAAGAGGCCCATGGGCCTTATAGGTCACCTGAGTATTATGCAACAACTTTCCAGTGATTGAATTTGATTCATGTTTTAAGCCAGATGCTATGGCATTCACAATTTTGAAAGAGGCACCATTGATCATCATATCAATACACAAGTTTTGCAGTTCTTAGTTTTTTACTTAATACCCATATGCAGGGTAAGGGAACAAAAAATGCATTTCAACTAATCAGTAACATTCAGCAATAATCAATAGTGCCCCTACCACACATGAACCCCTGACCCTTAGGCCTTGATATTTGATTAATACCAAGGAGCAGATTTCAAACCATTCATCCATTTTCAGAATATAAGTAAAACCCCCCCCCCCCCCCCCGGTACCCTGACCCTGGGGCCTTGAAATTCACAATTCTGGAAGTTCCCCTTTCCAGCATAACTATATAGGTAGTTCATCTGCTTAATACCCTGGAGCAAAAAGAAAATTTTCAAAGATTTAATGTATTTTCACTATATAATCAATAGAGCCCCGCCCTAACACCAGAACCCCTGACCCTGGGGCCATAAAATTCACAATTTTGGTAGAGGCACTCTTGCTCATCATAACTATGCACTTAGTTAGTTTATTCAATACCCAGAAGCAGAAAAGATTTTCAAAGAATTCATGTATTTTCACTATATAATCAATAGAGCCCCGCCCTAACACCAGAACCCCTGACCCTGGGGCCAAACAAATTCACAATTTTGGTAGAGGCACTCTTGTTCATCATAACTATGCACTTAGTTAGTTTATTTAATACCCAGGAGCAGAGAAGAAATTTTTAGAGAATTCATGTATTTTCACTATATAATCTATAGAGCCCCGCCCTAACACTAGAACCCCTGACCCTGGGGCCATAAAATTACAATTTTGGTAGAGGCACTCTTGCTCATCATAACTATGTACTTAGTTAGTTTATTTAATACCCAGGAGCAGAGAAGAAGATTTTCAAAGAATTCATGTATTTTCACTATATAATCAATAGAGCCCCGCCCCAAACCCAAAACCCCACCCCGGGGCCATAAAATTCACAATTTTGGTAGAGGCACTCTTGCTCATCATAACTATGCACTTAGTTATTTATTTAATACCCAGGAGCAAAAAAAGATTTTTAAAGAATTCATGTATTTTCACTATATAATAAAAGCCCGCCCAACACCAGAACTCCTGACCCTGGGGCCATAAAAT